TATATGAACATGTTTTGTTTTAGCTAGAATTTAAAAAGTAGAAAAGAACTTAATTTTCAATTTAGAAGTGTTTCAGACTACACAGAAAAGTAAAAGCAATGTAATAAACATCCTCATCTTTTTACCACCAAGATTTATGATTTTTAACATTTTTCTCTGTTTATTCCAAGCCATTAAAAAATAAATATACAGTTGAGGATTCCAATCCCCTTTCCATTTCCTGATGTCCCTCTGGCTATAGAAATAATCACTATATTTCATTTGATAAGTCATTTTTCATATCTCCATTTTTACACTGTAATCACCTAATTATGTATCAGAAAACAGAAACAAAAAGTGAACAAGGTATCAATTATGAAGTTCCTAAATTTGCTGTTTCTAAATTTACCTTAAAATTATTGGAAAATTTTCAAACAAACATATTCATTGGAAACAGTATTTACTTATTTATTTTTGGTTAAAAAACCATAATGCTAATTAAATATAAAAATTTAAATGAAAAGATTTCATTCTCCTGCCTCAACAAATTTCCTTGGTTGCAGAAATTGACAAATATGCCTCCTACCTCCTTTTTATTCAAATTCTTTAGAACTGGGTCATTTAAATTTTAACCATTTTCATGCTGCATAAGGGATTGGTGATATGGTTAAAGCTTTATACTTTATTACCTCCATTGCTCTCATTTTTTTGTTTGCATAAAAAAGCATGTGCTGTAGGCAGCTTCATGCATGGATATTAATTTTCATAAAATACACTCATAGCATCTTGTTAGGATGCTTATTTTAAATTATTCTAAGGAGTCAGCAAAGTTACCTCTTTTGATTTGCTAAGAAAATATCAGCAATGTCAGAGTTAAATAAGTGAGCATTGACATTAGGGTTTTTTTTTTTTTTTGCCTCTTCTTCTGGAGCCAGATTTCCCTTAAAAAAGAAGCAAATGCGTTTCTGAAAAAGTATATTGAAACCGAGATCCTTATCTGAACACAGAATTACTGTGGATTTGCATGAACTATGCGGCAATGCATCGCCAGAGACCTCTTAACCCTCACACATCTCTCTGAGGGCATCAGAGTAGAATTCTACATCAGCACCTTTAAGGTCCTGTGTTATCTTAAGCATAATCTTCAGGGAGAAAACTTCAGAGTAACACAAAGGTGAGTTTAAATGTATTTTTCCCTATCATTTCCCTACTAATTATTTAGGCAGCAATATATCAAGAGATAAGTACAGTCAATTTAAAACTTAAGTCACAATCTTAATGCCCAAATGGAAAAGATGCAATTAACATACCTGGGTTTGATACTTGAGATTGCTAAACTATTTTCAACTTGCATTTATGGACTATATGCTATTTCAAGATTGGACAATTGCCACTAGTAATATTTACCTCAGGCAATATTTAGGCTAACACAGTCTAAAGATAAAGACAGGAAAGTATGCAAGACTACACCTTTTTTTCAGGTTCAAATCAGAGTATATCATAGCCCTCAATAAATATCACTCCAGATCTTTTATGCTAGGTGTTTAAAAAGATGGCACAGTGATTTTGATGGCATCATTTCTTAAAAGAAGATATTGCTACATAACATATTTAAAATGCATTTCTTTATAAGTTTCGTGTACAAAGTCTTTTTTCAAAGACATCACATTTTTAGTATAAAACGAATTTAGGAGTATGGAAATCTATCTTTAAAGAGTCTTCTCTTATTATTAAGTCAGAAAGAGCTTCAAATATACTGACTTAGTATTTTTTCAACTTTTTCTTTCTTTTCTTCTTCTCAGCCACCTATCATGTTCTTTAGCCTTTAAGCTACCAATATTCTTTCTCCCCAGATAACTTGACAGTCGGTGCCACTCATTGGGGTTTTTTTAATTCACATTTCTCCAAAATTCTGGTCAATTCATTAACTACCTTTTAGTATTCTTATGTCTGTTTCTCATCATAGTCATACAGCAAATAAGGGCACTGGGTAAGCAGTAGGAAGACATTTTACTAAATATCTTATTGACACTTTTTGGTCCTCAATTTCCCTTTCAGTAGTTTGGGGAATTAGAACTAGTAGATCTCCAGGGTCCTGGGGCATATGTCTGCATGATTAACTGAAATTGAGACTCTGATGAATTCTGAGCTCTCAAAATTATCTCAATATGTTACACATGGGTCAAGTGGTCCATCCTTTTAAAAACGTAGTCACACTTATACCTATTCCTTTTAAGCGTTTAATTTTCACTGTTTAAATTCCTCTGTGTATAAACTCTGATTCCTAAACGTGCCATCTGAAGGGTGTTCTTCAACTAAAACAGCTGCTTTTTGGTGTGAAGCGATCATATGTAAAATTGTGTCGTTTAGAGAAATCTTGGACAATTCTGGCAAAATACATTTTACTGATGAGCCCAGTAAGGCCAGGGAACAACATGGTCACTTCTTTGTACAGGTCCTTTCTGAGTGGGACTTTTTTGCAAACTCCACAAAAATCTTGAACCATCGAGTTGCACAACAAAAAAAGGGAGTTGCTGCGGGATGGATCTTAACTGCTATTATTGCAATCATCTGATATGACTGTGGGGATTTTCCAAATGCTGATTTAGTCATTAACACTAAGAGTTACATAATAGACATCCTCAAGGTATTATCAAAAGCTATTATATTTCGAGTTAGCACTACCCCTATTTTTATGATAGGGAAGTTGATCATTGCGAGACTGTTGAACTTTGCCAACATTTTTACCCTGAATTTTAGCAAATTAACTCAGGTTTCTGTTTATGAACAACTTAGGTAAGTTATAAAATCTCTCACTAATTCATGCTATGCTTCATGTTTACATGAGTTTTTAACTGTAGTGTACATACACTGAACTTCCATGGGGGAATGAAAATAAAGGAATTGAACTTATAGTTTCAAATATCAGAAGCAGGGATATTAATAACAATCCAAAAATCAAGAGTGCAGCGTGAGTTTTGAGAGACTGTGGAGGAAACTACCACATCAAGTGAGTTAAATAATAAATATAAAATGAATCACAAAAAAAAAACCACTTGAAATATACAAAGTTGTAACAATATTGAGGGTTCTTTTCCACTAAAGCCTATACAAAAGATTTAATTTATTCTTTTAGGAAATTGCAAATACCAATGTAATCAACAACTACTCAGATCATCTCATAAAGCAATTAGAAACCAATTTCCTTAACCTATTTGTCCACCAAAATTATGTCTGCCTCTAGAATAGTGTATAAACACAGAATAGATCCAAATTAAGTCACTTTTGTAGCTATTCATAGTATACAAAAATCAGGTATCAACAGTCATCAAACTAGCCATAGTATGAAATTGAAGAAATGTCTGTGATTTTCTTAATCCTTCTTTAATAAAAAAGATCACTGTATTCAAATACCCATATAAGCCTAAGCTTTAGAAAGGGAGAAATAAAGGAGAAAAATAAAAGATACAACAGCAGATCATATTAAATCTAGAAAGTAGTTCCTTAGCTAAAAATGTGAAATTAGGTATTTAATGAAAATCATGTAGAATTTCAGAAATATTTACTTAGATTTGGATACTGTCTGTCATTATGTGAAGCTGTGATACATTATACCATATGTACACATTAATACACAATACATTATTAATAGTCTTATTTGGACTTGGTAGGGAAAACTTTAATTCCATGACTGCTGTCAATATTAACTTGAATTTATGCATCTGAATTTCCATTATAACATTTTTTGAAATGGGATGTTAAACCAAAGGAAGAACTGACCTAGGAAATGTCAGTGCCTAAATAATATGCATAGAATAAAATGTAACAACATCTTTTTATGATCAAAATGTGGATCCTTTTTACTTTTCATTTAAGATATTTATTTATTAGAGTCAAACATCAGAGGTCAAGAGTTTGATTTTCTAGTTTGTGAAATAATATTGTTTTCACTCAGAAAATGGCCTCAGAGATTACCAGGAGACAAAGAAACTGAGGCCTGAAAAGAGAAGAAAGGAATCCAAATTCATGGAATAAATTATCTAGAGTGATAGTATAGACTTCTTTCCATTTCTCGGGTGTCTCTTTAAAAAGGACTGGATAAAGGAAAACGCATAGAGAGGAAAGCACCACAATTCCATTTGGTTCATAACATTTGTTTTGATAAAAGTCTTACTAAAGATAAAGCTGAGTCAATTTGTTACAATAAGAAACATCAAAGTTCCTACAGAAGCACTTAACCTCTTTCTTATTCAATTTCCTCATTTGTAAACAGTCCAACACATGCCCTATACATCTGAAAATACTAGGAATGTTTATTAAGTGCTTACACCCAGTAAGTCATCAGCCCATGTACTCTGCACCTAATTCTCATCAACATTTATATAATGCCAGCCCCATTATTATCCCTATTTTGGAAATGAAAACACTTAGAAACAGGTTGACTAAGTAATAAGTCTAAGATGCCGTGAAGCCTATGGAGTAGGGCTACATTTGAACCCAAAGGCCAGACTGTTCACTTGTGCATCTAACTGCTTTTTTCCTGGCTCTTCTTCCCTCTTTGTCCTAAAATATGAAGTAATAGATGTGTGTGTGGAAACATCAATGTATTAAAACATTTTACAAATGCAAGATGGTATTAATTCTAGAAAGGATGCTGGGTCTATCTCACATCATCTTGGGGAATCAGTTCTTAAATGTGTCTGATCTCTCTAATGAGCTCTATTACAAGAAAGATTGAGACAGAACATACATAGCACCATGGAAAAGCCCATTTATTCTACTTACTTATCTAAAAGTTCTGCACTGAACTCTCTTGAACTTCACTGTATTAGAATTTGGCTTGTGTGGATAAGACAAACTTCATGTCCACACCAATTCTATTTGTTTTATGAAATCAGTTTGCTCTCAGTCATATTTCCCTGTGGTTCATCAGCTTCCTGCTTTTATCTCTGTTAGATAATCAACATATTGTATTCTTCTATTACATCTTAATAGGAGTAATGCCTCAAAAAAAGTATATTAGCCAACGAGGAAAGCAAGCATCCTGTCTTACCTCTGTTCTACCCCAGAGCCAGTAATGTTGAATCCACTGGGGCTAACTGGGAGAGAGGATGAAAGCTTGTTCTATAAGGAGCTGTCTGAGGTACAGCAAATGCCTGCAGGTATCATTTGCTTAGCTTTTCTTGGCTTATCCATTAACCCTAGCTGGAATAATTCTGGCTATTTTAGATACTTTGCTAATTACATGATGTTCTCATTCAGGAGCAGCTTGTTCCTTGTTCCTGTATACTCTTAGAAAGCCTCCAGACTTAAAAGGTACCATTGCCAGTTACCTGCTTGTTTGCTCAAAGGTCCAGCTCCTTGTCTGGAGCCTGAGAATGATTTGAAGGGAGAGGAGTAAGCCATATTTCTGTTCAACTCCAGTCTGAAGTTAAGAGGTCTGAAGAAAGAACAAAGCACACATAATGGAATCCAACCCTTGAAGGATATCAAAAATGGAATTTTCTTATACAACCTAGCTGTTCAAATTAGCATACAATCATTTCAGCCTTTCTAAATAAAAGTTTTGGTTTTTTTAAAGTATATTAGTAATAGTTGCAAGCTTATAAATTAACCTCATAGCATTTTAATGAATGCAGTGAACTTGGCGATAAGATAATTTATAGTAGCACAGGAGTGCAGCTTATCATGGCCTCCATCCAAATGAACGTAGCCACCGATAATCCTTACAAAAGGGCAAAATTCTATTCAAAGACAGTGCTTGTCAAATTGCTACAATGTAGCCATTTCATAATCAATCTAAAAAGTTTATTGAATGTTAACTCTGAGGGAGACATTGGCCATCAACATAGTTCATGATTTCACGGTTTAAAAAAAGAAAAAAATGTAGACAATCTCAATTTTGGATCAAAGTTAATGGGCTCTGTCAAGGATTTAAAATGTGTACTTAGAAATCCTAAAATCTCTCACCTCTCAAATTTTGTCTGGCATTTTAAAAAATTTGTGTGAACAGCTAAAATTTGGTTTCATGGGGAGACTTGGTTGGACTCATAAGACTCTCTCTCGTGATTCTTTAAGCATTAATCAACTGGGTATTTCTAGATGTGAAACTCTGACTCAAATCAACTTCTCTCTTGGAGAAGAAATGTAAGTCATTGCCAGAAAATTTTGTTTTTAGTTCTCAGCTTTCTAAAAAAAAAGTTCTTGATTTCATGTCAGGTAGTGAAACTCACTACAGAAATGCATTCATTCCACAAACAGCAGTAGAGTATTTTTTATTATATGCTACATCTGAAGGGATTCCTACCAAATATTTTTCATTCACTTGAAAATTCCTCGTAAGGTATTCACTTTAAAACACTAATCTAGTGTGTCTGTGTGAAACTGGAGCCTACTATAGTAAAACTTTATTGAAGGTCAAGGGTAACATAATAGCGAGGGGCTGGAGGTTACTGTGGTAATTTCCTATCTGCAGAATTGCTCTCAATTCTGAGAAATACTGCAATAATTTGAAATTGTTTTCTAAAGTTATGTGGGTTCTCCTGAAGAAGTTCCATTATTTATCCCTGAAAAATAAGTGCTCCAATCAGTCTTTCAAATGTTGTTGATTAGTTATTGCAAGAGTCATTAAACTCTTGTCAAAAAGTTTTACATTTGAATGCTTGTCCATAATTTGCATCCATTTTTCTCTTTGACCTTCATATTCATAAGTGATTTCTGAATCAATCATTCAACGTTACCATATAGAGAAAGAGTAAATTTAAACTAACACTGTGTCCCTGAGGAGTAGAATGCAAAAGAGATGCTGACTGAATTTTATAGATTATGGTCAAGGTGAAAAGACAGAAACTGGATCACTGTGTTACTTTAATTCAGGTCCTATTTATTGAGCTCTTACTTACTCTAAATACAGGGCTACACAGGAAGGAGTATATCAAAAACACAAGAAAAATATTCTCCACCCTCAAGGGGTTCATAATCCAGTTGATTCAAAATCAAATAAAAATACTCAAAGTAATTAACATTTATCTTACTTAAAATATAGAGTGAGGTTAAAAAAGAAAACTATCTTTCTTTTTGATAGCAAGAAATTTTATCATAAAAATCTTAAATTTGAGGAGAGCAACATTTCAAGTGTGCACAACCCAAAAGGAGGAGACATTTCAAGGAATTACATTTTTTTGGGTCACATTATTATTTTATTAGGAAGTAGACACAGGGCGAAATTACAGTTTCAAAACTGTCGTTATTCAGTGCTTTTCAAAGATAACTGATCTCCATCATGAAGACCAAAGGAGTAAATATTCTAAACTCTCAGAATTATAAAAGTAAACACTGGATTGTATTCAGTATAATTTTTGGATAAAGTCTATTCTTTGATTCCTAAAATATTTGAAAATGATAATCCAAGGATTAATCAAATGTGTCAGTTCATTTGCAGAAAAAAATAGACATATCTGTATTAACGTTTCCCATTTCATGTCATTTGAAGGAATTTTTTAAATCAGGTAATTAACTGCTTGCTTTAATAGTGTATAAAAAGTGCTGTCAAGTCATTATTAGCGGACTACAATCATATTCTCCTCGATTCCTAGAGTAAGCCCTTGTCATGAAAGGAAAGAGACACCAAGTAGGAATGTTTTCTATGTGACCAAACAAGTAGCTTCTGTTGCAGAAATTTGTTCCAATAAATCTGCAGGCATTTGGAAGAACTCAGATACATTTCAAATAACACCTGGGGTCTTGGAATTCTTTCATGTCATTCTCAGTGTCCCAGGGTGCATCTCCATCAAATCAATATTATTGAGAGTGTGGGTAGCATGGTCTGAAGACAGCTAGCATAAGCATTGACCACATGCTCTGGGTCAACTCAGTCCCACCTGGGATGGCCTCAAGAATTTTCACAATCAGGTTGGGCTCTTCTTGTGGCTTGAATGCATCATACCGTACAATCTTTTCAGCAGACCTGAGAACCACAAAAGTAATGGTCTCAGAATTATTTCCAAGCAGTGGACTTGATGGATGCCATGATGCCTGTGGGGCTAGACAGGTGAAGATAAGATATTCCCATCAAACTGTCATTTCTGGAATGACTTGGAGGTTCGTAGCAGTAGTAGCTCATGGAAACATTGATTTGAAAGCCATTGGTCCAATGGCCAAGTGAATTCTTGCCACTTGTCTCCTTGAAACATAGGTTTACTTTCTTAAAACATTTATCTTACCATTGATGCCTCATCTTAATTCCATCCCATCCATCAGTACCACCCTCATTATTTTTCTACTCCCTCCTAGCTACCAGGCAGATGGGAAGGGGCTTGTTTTGACTTCGATTCATCCACTGTTAACCTTAGGGGATATTTGAGCCAGAAGATACTTCCTAGAAATTGCCACATCAACGTCAGGAGTTTTGATTCATTTTGGGTGTGGTCCTGGGAGGTTAGGTGCCAAAGAAAACTGCTAAGAAGATGTTAAGCCAAGATAATTTCCAAGATAACATAGAATTGTTTTATAATGGAAACAGAATTGCAGGGAGGTGGCAAAGGGGCACACTGTGAAGACTGAGGGAGGCCAGGGGGCCATCTGACCAGGAATCAGGAGGAAGCTGTTGAGGCTTTCGGAAACAGAAGCTGCATTTCTAGATGGTCAGAGACTCAGGTGTGCTCTGCTACCTCTAAAGAGATTTCAAGGGTCACGAAAGGCAGCTCCTGGGCTTCTGTGCTCTTCGCTAGTTTTTGTGGGATCCCCAGCAGCTCTGATAACAGCTAGCAGGATGCTCCCCAGGAATCACCTCCCTCCCTGTCACCCTGTGCCTCGTCCCTCATGAGCCTCTCTGTATGAATACTGGCTTTTAGTTCCTTACTGTACCTCCTTGACCCAAATGCAGCCAGTTTTGAGAGTTTTGACTAAATTGCTATCACTCTTATATAGTTGAAATTTAGGATACTGGAGTCACGTAGTGGTTCCGGTTGCTGAGAAAGTAAATGAGAAGGGAGATTTTTATTTTGCTCTTGGCTTTAATGGTTTTTCTCATTGGAGGGAAATACCTGCTCTGAATTAATGGGAACACTACAGGAAGGGTAAAGAAATGATAACTCAGTGCAGAATCATCAACCTTTACCTCAGCTCCTTGTGGGTCTGAAGGTAATGAGGAATTTAAAAGATTTGTAATGGCCACATATGTCAGTTCTGCAAAATAGCACAATCTGGGCTGAAACACAGAAAAAGAAAATCGTTAAAACTGTTTGCTTTGTTTTGGGTCAAATTTATATTTCCTAAAAGAGTAAAGGAAGGCATGGTACAGGTGTTTGCCATCAAAAGTCTTAATCTGTATGCATTTGACTTATTAACCTAATTTAGGTACAGATTATTGTTTTTACCCCCAAGAAAATGAAGTATGGGCACTTGTAATTGAATACTTTGATTTATGTTGTTTAAGGGGAAAAATGAGAGTGTGTCAGATTGGGCCCTACTACACACACAGCTCTGAGTCACCATTAAAAAAGGAAATGGGATATCATAATAATAGCATGAAATACGGGTAAATATACGTTAGCGATGCTTGGTTTTCATGCAGAAGACAAGGCTTTGTTTCAAGCGATGCATTAGATAGTTGGGGTTCTCAAGACATTACACCCTTCTTTCCCCTTCAAGTTCTGAAATAAGGTAAAAAATAACACAGATGGAGACAATATCACCTCTCTTACTGCTGCCGCTGATCATTTTGAAGACTATGCCTTATACCTACAAGCATGTGAGCTGAAAATCACAGCAGGGAGGTCATACAAGGGAATGTGAATTCTGCAGGCAGAGCAGTTCTTCAGGGGGAGGAGCAGAGTGATTGAGAGACGGAAACACACACACACACACAGAAGAAGGGAATATGGAAATTTGCTGGCTCACGTGCCCAGTTTTTCCTTCCAAACTTTCCAATTAGATGCCTGTCTGGAACAGAAGAAAGGAGAGAGCTAAGAGTATTGTGATGGTAGAATCACTCCACACATGAAAGTCAGGAGAAACTCTTTCTCATAAAGATATGCATGAAAGAAATACAAGTAGAATATAAAGTAGATAAAATAGGAAAATGTCGATTTAAGGTGAAAGAAAACGTCCCATCTTTGAGTCTTTATCTAAATTGATATTCACAAAG